CAAAAAAAGATATAATTGCAAAATTACGGCTAAATTGTCTCAAATTAAAGCTAAATTGTTTCAAAATATGATTTTTTAGTGTTATAAATAACAATTTTTGATATCTCCACGAAATGGTGATAAAAGCCGATATAAAAAGTGATATTTTTGAGGTTATCTCAATAATTATTGGTTGTATCAAAAAATGTTTCAAATCATATTTGTTTAGAATTAAACCAGTAACAACTTTTATTTGAAAAATTTTCCAAAATTTTTGCTTTTTGTTAAATTAAAATCTAAATTTATTAATTTCCCTCTGAATAGTACAAAAAAAAGATATAATTTCAAAATTACGGCTAAATTGTCTCAAATTAAAGCTAAATTGTTTCAAAATATGATTTTTTAGTGTTATAAATAACAATTTTTGATATCTCCACCAGATGGCGATAAACGCCGATATAAAAAGTGATATTTGAAACATTTTAAAAAATTTTTACTAGATGGCGCGATACATTAACATAAAAACTTTCTTATTTCCCACTGAACAGTACGGTAAATCATTTCAAAGCTAGTTAGGTTTATCGAAAAAACTTTCAAGTAATATTTGTTTAAAACATAATTTAAATCAAAAATCTTAACATACAATTTTGACACCTCCACTAGATGGCGCTATTTACTGATATAAAAATTGACATTTTTGAGGTTATCTCAATAATTATTGGATAAATCAAAAAATGTTTCAAAATAATATTTGTTTGGAATTAAATCAGCTACAATTTTTATTTGAAACCTTTTTTGATATTTTTGCTAGGTGGCGCTGTACGCTAATATAAAAACATTCTCATTTCCCTCTGAACAGTACGGTAAATTATTTCACAGCTAATTGGTTTTATCGAAAAAACTTTGGAATAATATTTGTTTAAAACATCATTTTAAACAATATTCTTAACATAAATTTTAATACCTTCACTAGATGGCGCTGTTCATTGACAGAATAAATGACATTTTTGAGGTTATCTCAATAATTATTGGATGAATCAAAAAATGTTTCAAATAATATTTGTTTGGAATTGAATCAGCTACAATTTTTGTTTGAAACATTCTTTTAAATTTTTGCTAGATTGAGAGATACACTAACATAAAAACTTTCTCATTTCCCACTGAATAGTACGGTAAATCTTTTCAAAGCTAATTAGGTTTATCGAAAAAACTTTCAAACAATATTTGTTTAAAACATAATTTAAAACAAAAATCTTAACATAAAATTTTGATACCTCCACTAGATGGCGCTATTTTCTGATATAAAAATTGACATTTTTGAGGTTATCTCATTAATTATTTGATGTATCAAAATATTTTTCAAGTAACATTTGTTTGGAATTAAATCAGCTACAATTTTTATTTGAAACATTTTTTGATATTTTTGCTAGGTGGCGCTGTACGCTAATATAAAAACATTCTCATTTCCCTCTGAACAGTACGGTAAATTATTTCACAGCTTATTGGTTTTATCGAAAAAGCTTTCGACTAATATTTGTATAAAACATGATTTAAAATAATACTCTTAACATAAAATTTTGATACCTCCACTAGATGGCGCTATTTACTGATATAAAAATTGACATTTTTGAGGTTATCTCATTAATTATTTGAAGTATCAAAAACTTTTTCAAATAACATTTGTTTGGAATTAAATCAGCTACANGGTTATCTCATTAATTATTTGAAGTATCAAAAATTTTTTCAAATAACATTTGTTTGGAATTAAATCAGCTACAATTTTTGTTTGAAACATTTTTTTAAATTTTTACTAGATGGCGCGATAGACTAATATAAAAACTTTCTCATTTCCCACTGAATAGTACGGTAAATCATTTC